CTGTTCATTCCTCATCCCCTCCCAATGCCAATTATGTTCCCCCTGTTATTTTACAGGCCTCATCCACATAGGATGTGGTTTAGTTGCTAGTTTTTAACATTTAATTGTAATGTTCCAATTTGCCACATAGCAGTTGGGGGCATTAGGAGATTTAACTCCCCTAAAGTAATATACAGCATTTAATTGATCTTCTTTTGTTTTTTTAGATCATCAGATATTAAGACAACTCCAACTCTGATGATGCTTTGTCATATTTCTAAATGCTGGCAAAGCATTGTGGGAGTTTTAGTTCAACAAAGTCTGTGAATCTACCTTTTAGGTCTCCTAGTTTCTATGTGTCCTTGAAAGTAAGATCCAGTGAAATCAAGCAACACTGTATATTTTTTCCTCCCTTCCTTTTGGGTGGAAAACCAACTGAATCTTAATTTTTTTTATATTCTTTATTTTTGTAGTGCAAGGTACAACAAGCCAGTTTAAGCATACATTTGCATGAACCGTAATCGTCAAGCACAGGTGTTTACATATCACAAAATGACAATAATTCTGAACTTTTTTTTTTTTCATCGTATAGAAACAGTAAAGAGAAGAGTAAGCTGCTGCATAAAAACAGTATTGTTAGAGGTACTCTAACAATACTCTGGTCTGGAGCATCCCCCTGAAGGAGCCACTCTTTGCTGCCGCCTGTTCTTTCTGTTGTGGCTGTAATGCAGGGCTGATTAATTTCGGCTTCTGCCTGGCCGTCTCCCACATCTGCCTTTCTGGGTAGGCCTAGTCATGCCCACCTTGGAGGCTTTTGCAGTGTAGCCAGGCTGAGGAGAAGTAAGTTTCTGCTGTGTTGTCCCCACTCCAACATCAACCTCCAGATTCCTCTGCAATTGCCGCCAGAATGCATTACAGATCAAATCAAAGCTTGCTAGCAGCTTAATACGCAGATAAGTGAGTCCAGCTTGGCACACAGGAGCTGCTGCAGAGCGGGCAGCCACCATCATGATGGGTGAGTTGCAGTATTTTCCGGTACTTATGCCTGAATGTCGGAGCTCAGGAGCCTGGGATTAGGCTTGTAGTAGTGCTGTGGTCGACCGGGATGACCCCCACCGGTCCAAAGAAGGGGAAGGGTTTGCGAGGCCCTGCAAGACATCGAGGCAGGGGATCGTCCACGTCACCTGCCCTGTATCAACCACTAGGCCGCAGGACGGACTGGCCAATACGGATGCGTCAGGAGAGTCGATGTTGCCCCAACTTCATTCCCGAGGGAGCACTGAGGAGAGGGTAAGTTAGGTACCCGGTCAGCTCGGCTTTGGACAGAGATATTTATCTTAAAGGTGGATATTCATTTCCATCTCCAGGTGCATGCAACTTTTCCGCATGGTGGTCAGGCTCCGCCCCCCATGAATCTTAATTCTAAGAGAGAATCCTCTTAGTTGGCAAAATACATATATTCCCAAGCATTTAAGGAGATGTAACTTTATTGGAAGGAGAAATTTACAGTGTTGCTGGACCAATTGTAGCTGCAAAATGATGCTTGGCTGTTAGGAGATTTAACCTGCTTTCCAGGAGCAGAGGTCAGGGATAAAAGAAACAAACAAAAAATAAAACACAAGCCATTCTGTTTGCAATTTATATACCATCAAACTGAGTGTGAACATTTGTCTGCTCTCACTGGACTATAACGTCTATCATTCTCAGTGATATTCTGGCTTTCTTAGTGGACGTTAAAATACAAGTATGATAGGATAGGATAGCGAGACAACCTTTTGCTTAACAACTTTAGCAGCATATGACTCATTTCAACCACAGAAAATCAGTCCACAATACCTTTATTTGGGAAAACAACTTTTAAAATAATGAATACTAAAAATGCCCTGTCAATACAATACAACACTAAAGAATAGAGTTTAATACAAATTACTGAATTTCAATAAAACCACACACCCGCATATCAATGGACAATGCCCAGCACTAACAAGGAAGAAGGTCCTAAGGAAAAAAATAGATGGAGCTCTTCATTAGGTGCAGAAAACAGTTCTACGTCTAATGTAATGCATGTTTTTGGGCCTTAGGATAGATTTGTACAAGTTTTATTAATCATTTTTTTGCAACGAGTCCTTAGAAAATGATATGTATATTTTTTGGATAGGGAGTTTCCTTCAAGTCCTGAATGTACTCATCTTTGTTGTAGCAATATGCAACAAAAAGCAACTGATGTTTGGTAACTATCTTTATCATATGCATCCTCCACTATATTTTTATAAACATAAATTAAGAGAAGGCAATTGCATTGTAACATTTTAAAATGGATAAATTTGTGTGATGTTTTAACTCCGCATATTCCCAATTCAGAAATAGTAGCTTCAGTTGTTCATATAATTCCTCCTTGCAACAGCTGTATGTACATTCAAAAAATAATCTTTAAAAGAGGTTTTGATCTAATTTACATCACTATTATTACAAACAGCTGATTAGACTTTTGATAATAACCTTTTATCAAAAAGTCGATTTCTATTTTTTTTCTTCAATCTGCAGAGTGAAGATTATGTCCTATATTGTAAACTAGCAGGATCACTTTTTCTTGCATCACTACTTCTGCAAATATTTGGGCAGCTGGGAATGTGCCTTTAATCGACAAAAAAAAGTGTCTTTTGGAGGCTTAGGAAGATTCTTTTCACTTGTGATGAAGAAGATCTAAGAGCTTTTGTAATGCACAATATAACGGAATGGTCAGCTGTGCTACTAGATGCCCCTTGATTATAATTTGGTAGAGTAGTTTCTGTTTATTTAGTTTCCGCAATACAAGATGCAGTCGTCTGTTCATTGCCATTCTTGGCAAGGACTTTTTTCCCATCTATTTTTTTTTTTTTCTTATGAAGTACGAGTCTGTTTTATAAAACACAAACATAGCCAACATATTGAGGAAGAAAAAAGAATAGCCTCTCTCTTACTTACATCGTCATTGTGAGCATCATACCCCACTATTCAACCTGATGGTATTCCTAAGTCATTCCTTTTAGGAACCCACTCTTTTACCCTGTGTGAATTTTGTCACTGGCAGTTCCATCTGTCCTTTTCACTTACTGTACAACTCTTCTTTGAGTCTTTCAAAAATCTGTGTGTATTTGTGTGTGTATAAGTGTGTGTGTGTTTGTGTGAGGTGCTTGGAAACTTGATTCTCCAACTACTGCTCAGTAACAACACTGAATCTGTTACAAATCATATTTTTGTCCAGTTCCGAGTCATATCATAGAAAATAGGCACAGGGCCAGCCTTTAGGCACACTGTGAAAAAAATCTTCACAGGGCCCCTCATCCAAAACCTGTCACCCTGTAAAAAGTGCTAAGCCTTCATTACATAGATACGATGCATTAACACAGTGAGGGGGGAAAAGTATTTGATCCCCTGCTGATTTTCCCAATGACAAAGAAATGATCAGTCTATAATTTTAATGGTAGCTGTATTTTAACAGTGAGAGATAGAATAACAAAAAAAAAAAGATCCAGAAAGCTGCATGTCAAAAAAGTTATAAATTGATTTGCATGTCAATGAGTGAAATATGTATTTGACCACTTCGACTTAGTACTTGGTGTCAAATCCCTTGTTGGCAATCACAGAGGTCAGACGTTTCATGTAGTTGCAGATCCTCTCCAAGTCATTAAGGTTTCGAGGCTGACATTTGGCAACTCCAGCCTTCAGCTCCCTCCACAGATTTTCTATGGGATTAAGGTCTGGAGACTGGCTAGAACCTCCTTCCCTCAGCTAGGGCATTAAAATGGGTCGTGGATGGGTATTCCAGCATAACAATGACCCAAAACACACAGCCAAGGAAACAAAGGAGTGGCTCCAGAAGAAGCAAATTAAGGTCCTGATTCACCTTGGAATTTCATGTTTCCAGAATTTCCTGTTACTGCTATCTTGTTTGGTGACATAACATAGGCTAGAATACACCAGCAGGGCTATTTAATAAAGTGAAAATTCACCGTGAATTATAAATGTAAGGCCAGAATAGCTGAATGGAAAGCATTCGTGGCAGATAATTATTTCCAGTTAGTGTATTTTGACCTTAAATTTGAAATTTGCCTTGAATTATTATTATTATACCTAGTATAAGATTTCATACATGCTTCCTAGCCTGATTTGATAAACACTATTCAATTTCTCCCCCCTCCTCTTCAGATGTCCCATACCCTCCATTTTACCCCATCCCCTCCCTGTATCCTATACCCTCCCTCTCTCCATCCCCCCTGTATCCTATAACCTCTCTCTCCCCCCTCCCCTCCTTGTATCCCATACCCTCTCTTTTTCCTCCCTCCCCTCCCTGTATCCCATACCCTCTCTCTCTCCCTCCCCTCCCTGTATCCCATACCCTCTCTCTCTCCCTCCCTCCCTGTATCCCATACCCCTCTCTCTCTCTCCCCTCCCTCCCTGTATCCCATACCCTCTCTCTCCCTCCCTCCCCTGTATCCCATCTCTGTCCCCCCTCCCCCCCTGTATCCCATACCCTCTCTCTCCCTCCCTTACCTGTATCCCATACCCTCTCTCTTTCCCCCCCTCCCTTCCTGTACAGTACCTTACTGGCCACGATTCCAGGTCTGACATTACTATTTCATCCTTGAGTTATCTAACTGCAGCCCTTAGTCACTCAGATCTTTTTGCTTGCCCATTTTTCCTGCTTCCAACTGGAGGAATGTAAGAACTAATTGTTCACTTGCTGCCTAATATCACCCACCCCTTTACAGATGCCATTGTAAATATGTAATCGATGTTAATCACTTCACCTGTCAGTGTTTAATGTTGTGGCTGATCAGTGTTAGGTGGAAATAAAACAAAACCAAACTAAAAAAATAAAGGGAAATAGTTAAACAAATTGAATCAATTTAATAATAGAAATTTTCTTGGCGTTCTGGAATTCAGACTGTTATATTTATTTTTCCTTCACTTGTATTTTTTTCTTTTAATGTTATATTTGTTATTATTTTTGCAGTATTTTCAGGGTTTTCTTTTTATTCATTTTTTTAACTTCATACTGTTTTATATACAACTATACTGGTTGTGTTTCTAATTATTTGTTTGAAATAACGCACATATGTAGCCTTTGTCTGATAATTACTTTGCATTGTCAGAAAAAGAAAAAATTAATTCTACTCCCAACACAATTTTATGCAGCCAATAAGTCCAACTTGAGAAAGTTGAGATTATTAGTAGGGATTTTCACTAAATTGGGAATTGCAGGGAATTCAATGGCAGGTTGTTTCATGGAAACAATAATGCCCTAGAGAAATCCTGAAGTTGATGTGGTTGCATCTAGAGGTCATGAAAAGATCACTGGCAAAATAAGGTTATTCACAAACTTGAGAATTGAAAGTGAATTAAAAGTGAATTTCAAATTTAAGGCCAGAATAGCCAAATTGAAGGCATGGCTGAGAATATTTCCAGTTTGGCTATTCAGTCCTTAAATTTGATATTTACTTTGAATTTATTAACATCTTTATCACACACTTTCACTTTCTGTATATATCATCACACTACTTTTACAGGATACACTAAACAACATTAACATTAACATCCATTAAAATATATGCACCCAAGTATAACTATATATTACACTGACTAATATTATATTCTTAATGCACCTATCATTATTCTCTTTTCTATTTGTATATCGATTCCACTTTTATTTAGCCATCATTTTAGCCAAGGCTCTCTGTGAATATTCTGTTCTCAGTCCTAACGACATTTGTATCGGACCTCCGCAATCCAAAATAGGGACCTTTTATCCATAATTTCTGATCTAGTATTATCATCCTTACTATTATCCCTATTCGATCTCCGTTAAATCGTAATTGAAGATAGGTATCTTCTATCCACAATCCCTGATCTATTTCTATCTATTTTCATCATCCCTGATACGGGTGTCTACTGTTTCGATATACTTTAAACATAACTATAATTCTGAGTTCTTAATTTAACCCCCAATCTCACCTATTTATGACACTATATGTATTATAATTTGTAATTATAATTATTATTATCATGTACCTTCTTTTTTAAATAGCTTTTTCAACAGGTCTTCAGTAATACACTGTGCTTTAACATATCTTTACGGATTGTTACTATATGCAAACGATTAGAGATAAATCTCCACTTAATAATATACAATATATAATATATTTCTCGATGAATCATCATTACGAGTTTTCAATATTATCCTTCAAGCAGATGCTCTCTTCTCAATGCTTAACTCTTTCTTACTTCCTTTGACTATTTTTAATACTATTTAGGGATAAACCTTAATCTCTACATTTATTCTTATTATTGTATCTATTAATCACATTACATACATTTATTAATTCATAAATTTATCAATTTGTATCATTCATCTACCTATTAAACAACCAGTATTATCCCTATAAATTTATTTTTATAAATTCATTTTTATAAATGTATAAATTTATTTTTATAGATATATCTCTACAATCAACTACTGCCATATAGGATTAAATGTATAATTCTTACCAAATAGAGTATTTACACGTAGTACAATTTACAATGATATCATAGTACTGTTTTTATGATGATTTTTATTATGAATTTTATGACTCATTATTATCTCTTTTATCTCCATTTTTAATTTTTTAAAACTTGTAACTCTCTAAAACCACAAATTTTAATTTGTATTTTAATTTTTATTTTTAATCTTTAACTTGTATACTAATTCTATATTTATTCAATTTACATCTACTGTGATGTGAATGCATTTAGATATATACACTTATGTTTCATGTATGCATTTTATATTTTTATCTGAACGTGTGTATTTCACAAAATGCTGATATACGTAAACTGTGTAAATATGCCAGCTGTGTATATAAGTCATGGCTCGGCATTCAATCTTCACCATGTCTCTGATGAAGTGGGGCTGACACCCACAAAACGCGTTAGACAGACTGATACCAGTGAGCAGGATACGGAGCAGAGCTAAACCGGCAGAAGGAATACCTCTCTTTCAACCAGAGAGAACCAGGGGACCGACCTACCACCCAGAGTGAGGTCTGGGATGCATGCCAACCCCACCGGCAGCCGGCAAGTACAGAGATACATTTCTGATACATTATATCCATATCCATCCTAGCTGGATTTTGTGACTGTCTAAAGAACAAGATTACCCTTCTGCTGGTAACCCTTTTGCTAACTGTTCCTGACTCATATTTTTACATATTTTTATTCTTTGATATGTTTTTTGAATTGCCATTAAAAAAAATTTGATTATTAGAATTTTTTCAACTTTTATTATTAAGCATTAGATTTTAGTGTTTTTTTCTAATTTTATAATTTTACAATTTGTGTAATTCCCATTACATCCTCTGCAGTATCTTCATTGGGTCTGCATAATTATAGGTAATACTCTTAGTATATTATTTAGTCAATCTACCAATAGTTGATTTAAAGAGATATCGATCTGGATTAACATTGTCACTACACCTCAATACATAAGAGAAAACAGCCGTCTATGCTGTTATTCTATACTATTTAACTACTTCAGCGAAGTAGATTATTCGGTGTATACCATATTGGATCTGTCTCTAGCAGGTTTAAAGTTGTACACACCATACATATCTTTGTTATATTTGGATGTCTGTTGCAAGATACTCAGTATAACTGTACATATTTAAGCTATTTTTGGGTATAACAGCTCCTGGACTTTTTGAACTGTACCAAGGTGCTATTCTTTTCGACTCACAACTGTTTGGGCAGGTATTGGGTGAATTCCTGTTTTTGTCCAGTATTTTGAGCGACCCATTATAAATCAGATTCCCTCAACCCTGCGTGTTGCACTAGGCATACCTGATTTTTATATTTTTACTTTGAATTTAGTTTGAATTCTCACTTTATTGAATAACCCTGATAGTGATCAAGAAGGTGTGTATAGGTAAATTAATGAAAAATGTTTAATGGGTTATTAGGAGCTTTATAGGTAAGTGTTACTAGTTTACATTAGATAAAGGGGATGAGAAGGAGAAGGAGAAAATAGTACAAGGATTGGCAAAGTGGTGACAGTGGGTAAGGACCAGCCTGGCACCAGCATTCATTCATATAAACAATGACTGGTTGTATGTTGTTTTTATGAGTTCTACTGCTTACATTGTATGGTGTAGAACTCTGCGCCAATAGCATGCTGGTATTGGTATATAGTATTAAACCCAAGAAAGGATAAAATAAAGGTGGATTGGTGCTTAATATGCAAATATGAGTGCAACAGCCCCCAGTGTCTAAAATCACTCAAATGACACTAGATAAATGGTTAAAGTAATGAATAACTGGGGTGCAAGAATAAACAGCAGTACATAAAAATATATACTTATTATCATGAGTGTAGAGCCTCCTGATCTTTCTGTAAAAACAATATAAAAGCAATCACCGCATAATACTGTATATCAGCAATATAGATCTATTAACCCCTTAAGGACCAAACACCTGGAATAAAAGGGAATCATGACATGTCACACATGTCATGTGTCCTTAAGGGGTTAAAGAGGTAATGGGTCACTCACACTCTCCAGAGCCACAACAATCAAGTCCTGGCTATAATGGTAGTTGAATATTAAGCTTATTCAGGCTGTGAGCTTCACTTGGCTGGAGTCAACTCGGAAGTGGTAAACTCACGAAGATGGGGAACCCCAAACGCTCGTAAGGCACCCATGCAAGTATGGGGAAGACCCGGGCAGGGAAATCGGTTTCCGTCTCGAAGTTATTTAAAGACTACACTGACCGCATGTCGGAGGATGGTGACTCCAATATGGCGCCGACAGCGGTCAAAACTTACTTAAACCCTCCTAGCCCGACAGCCTCGTGTACCTCAGCTATCTCCGCTGATTGTGATATCAAGGAACTCATTCAATATCTACCTTTCAAAGCATGCCTGGGATCAGAGATCAGACAGGTCAGCCTCCGAGTTCAGGATCTCAAAGACAACAGAGGCACTGTACAGGCCCAATTGGATATCCTAACATCCAGGAGTGAGGTCCAAGAGACGCATATATCCTGACTAACGAGAGCATTAGATGACATTGATAACAGAGGAAGAAGGAACAACCTCCACGTCAAAGGCCTCCCCGAAATGGAGAACAAGGATATACCGGCAACCCTGCAGGAATTGTTCAATCTGCTGATGGACCAACCAGCCACAAACCCAATAATCTTCGACAGAGCGCATCGCTCGCTGAGGCCCAAAAACAAACCGGGAGAAGCCCCGAGGGACATAATATGCTGGGTACATTATTTTACAGTTAAAGACCGGATCCTGTGGAAACTTAGAGACACAAACCCTCCATTGTTATTTTACGGCCACGAGGTCCAATTATTCCAGGACTTATCATGGCTCACTCTCCAAGCCAGGAGAATACTCAGGCCAATCACAGACCAACTGAGATCTAGAAACATCAAGTACTGGTCGGACCATGCACCCTTAACTATGACGACACAAATTCCGTCCCTACATGCCACGAGGTCACAGTGGAAGCTAAATAACTCCCTACTAAACGATCCTGATGTATTGAACCGGATTTCTACAGACCTTGAGCAATACTTTTCTTTAAATGTACGAACTGACAAAAAAGCGGCTGTCTGCTGGCTCATGCACTGAAAAAGCAGAGAGAGGCCACATTCATAGCCCTAATCTTCTCGCATAGAGGACTAACACATACGATCACATCACACCAGGACATAGCACCCTTCTTGCGAGCATTGGTTCTGGCAGATGTGCACATCCCAGATTGCTGAGGACCCAGCTCAAAGCCCCAACCAACAGTGGCAGAGGGGACGCCCGGCGTGAAGAAGCAGCGGACAGATCAAACGGAAACATTCTCCCGAGAGGGCTGAAAGCAGGCATCCAGGGCCCCGGAGTAAACCACAAGAGCAACAAAGCAGGAAATCTCCAGAGGACATCCCCTGATTCTCCACCACCAAACTGTAACCACCCAACTATACCACAAAGACAGACCTGACACAAACCTCCATACCCTCCCAGGTTATTTTACACAAATCAGACCTGTGTACAAAGACTTCGACATTACGGAAGTGTCCCAAAACTCCTAGGGACAAATGGAACTCGCACACGCTAAATTCTTCAGACTCTGATCCCAGGATCAAAATCCAGGGGGGTGGCGATCCTCAAACTCTCACCTCCTGTTTACATATAAAGACCACAGCACAGACGATAGTGGCCACTATGCATTTCTAAAGGGGAGAGTAGGCAACACCATGACCACTTTGGCCAATGTGTACCTGCCCATCAAAAAAACGCTTCCCACGCTCCGAAAGATTCTCACAAAACTGGAGGCATTTGCGGAGGGCCTCTCTGTTCTGGGAGGAGATTTCAACGTATCATTGGATAGAACACTAGACACCACATCCACTACACACTTCTATCAAGCAGCTACCAGATCACAAGCACAACAGCTTTTAGACTCCCACTACCTTTATGACTGATGGAGGACACTCCACGCCGCACAGAGGGACTATTCCTTCTATTTACACACAACAGGAAATTACTCCAGGATGGACATGTTTTTTCTCCCCCACAGATTCCTTAACCCCCACACATCTTGTTCTTATGCACCAGTAACCTGGTCGGACCATGCACCCTTAACTATGACGACACAAATTCCGTCCCTACATGCCACAAGGTCACAGTGGAAGCTAAATAACTCCCTACTAAACGATCCTGATGTATTGAACCGGATTTCTACAGACCTTGAGCAATACTTTTCTTTAAATGTACGAACTGACAAAAAAGCGGCTGTCTGCTGGCTCATGCACTGAAAAAGCAGAGAGAGGCCACATTCATAGCCTCTATCCAAGACACAACTGGCAAACGATCCCACCTTATGCCAGACATTACCAAAGCCTTCCATGCGTTCTACTCATCTTTATACAATCTGCTCACGGCACCACCACCCACAACAGAGATATAGAAATTTCTCACACGAAGAATATCTGCCACCATACCAGCCAATATTAGACAATCTCTAGACCAGCCCATCTCACTACAGGAGTATTACATGGTGATTAAACAGACACCACTAGAGAAGAGCCCTGGCCCAGAAGTCCTGACGGCAAAATATTATAAACTTCTCGCAGCACCTCTCGCCCAACACTTTCTCAACACATTTAATTCCTTACTCCAACCAACAGATCTCCCGCCCCAGGCCCTAAATGCCATTATCACACTCCTGCCAAAACCGGGGAAAGATCTCACCAAATGTGGGAGCTATTGGCCAATATCCCTGATAAATATAGATCTCAAACTGTTCATTACAATTTTAGCAAATCGCTTACGACCCATCCTCCCTGACCTGATGCACTCAGACCAATCGGGATTTTTGCCAGGTAGAGAGGCAAAGCACAACACCACTAAAATTCTAAATTTAATTCACCATGCGAAGCGTTCCAACGACAACAGTCTGCTACTGTCAATAGACGCCGAAAAGGTGTTTGACAGGGTAGACTGGACCATGATGAGACACACACTTCAACACATGGGCTTTGGTCTTAATTGGACGAGGTGGCTGGGGGCCCTATACTCCAATCCTTCCGCACAACTACGCATAAATGGCCAGCTATCCGATCCGGTGCCCTTCTCTAACGGCACGAGGCAGGGATGCCCCTTGTCCCCCCTGCTGTTCGTCTTGGTAATGGAACCCTTTCTTCAAGGGATCAGGGACAACCTCATGATACAGGGGATCAAGGTAGGAGCTAAAGAACTTAAAATAGCCGCAATGTTCACACTCACACAACCAGCCTCCATGCTACCCCATTTAATGACAGAAATGTCTACATACAGTGCCATCTCAAATTTTCAAGCCAACCTCAGCAAATGCGAAATATTACCGATCAAGCTACCCCCACCATCAGGGAACAGTTAAAACAAAAATATCCCTTCACATGGGCAACAGAATCTCTTAAGTAGCTGGAAATACATATAACAAGCGACCCCACACAACTGTACAACATCAACTTCCCCAAGCTGCTACAAACCATAACAGCTGACCTCAATTCATGGAACCTCCCACACTTTAGCTGGTTCAGCAGGCTGAACATTCTAAAAATGAATATTCTACCACGCATCCTATACCTGTTAAAGGTGCTACCAATAACACTATCCAAACACTTATTTGACACAATACGTAAGACATTTTCAACCTTTATATGGGCTCACAAAAAACCCTGTCTACCATACACGCTACTCAAATAGCAAAAAGAGGAAGGAGGGCTGGGTATTTGGGTATAGAGAACTATGCCACAAAGCTATACACCTGTCAAGGGTATACGACTGGTCCATACCACACTCCAATAGGCAATGGGTACAACTAGAAGACGCATGTTTCAGATACCCGATATACACTATCCCATTGGCATAAAACAGGAATAACACTACTAGCCCACCAAGCTCACCCAACCATTACGCCTACACTGAGAATGTGGGCCCACATGTGTAATCACCAACAGATATCTCCTTTTCCCTCACCACTATACCCAATCACTCATAATCCTTTATTCCCACCGGGGTTAGACAGGAAGGCATATATCCTACCACAATTCCTCATACCTGACACTAGGAGATTTAAGGGAGGAGTCAGGCATTAGACCGCTCCATTACATAATTCCAAGAGACAAAGCCTCAGTGCTGCACACGTTCCACCATAATCAACTCACGCACTTTATACAAACAGGCCCCGCAGCACAGGGAACAAACCAAGACCTTACTGCTTTTGAACAACACTGTAAGGGACAAGATATAAAAAAGAAACTGATATCCATAATGTACAAAATCTTACTAACCACACAGCCAGACCACCTCCCAACGTTCACCACTACATGGGAAAAAGAACTAAATATTACTCTTTCAACAACAACCCAAGAGAGCAATTACAAACGCTTAGCCTGATGGTACTTCACACCAGAATGAACACAATCCATGTTTCCACAATCCTCTAATCAATGCTGGTGATGCCACCAACCCAATAGCACAACCTCACATATATGGTGTCATGTCCAGAATTAAGAAAATACTGGGTACGAATCGCAGGCTTGATACAAACTATCCTGGGAGAATCACTAACCCTAGCGCTGGATACTTTTCTTTTCCTCCTTCCACCCAGACACATCCCAAAACCTAAAGTCCCACTACTTCTTCACCTAATCACAGCTGCCAACCAATTGATCCCCACTCTATGGAAGCAACCCAACACCCCTACTATAAGGGAATGGATACAAAAAGTTGAGATCACGAGAGAAATTGAAGAAATATGCTTTTCCCTATCCAATGACTATCAGGCATACACCGCCACATGGTACAGGTGGTGTAACTATCTTCAGAAATGCAGCACCTAGCAGACTTAGCACCACACAGTACCAACTAAATGCAGCTTGCCTACAGAGTCAACCACGGGATACTATTAAACAGACTCTTAAATGCACCGACGGATTAAGGATACTACACACCGGCCGACAACACATGTTACAAGGTTCGACAAAGCCCCCACATTAAAACATTAATACGTTACTACATTAACACTTTAATATGTTAATAAGTTATTACATTAATATTATAATATGTAAATCATACTGACATCGGAGATACAGACTACCTAACGGAAAAGCCACAAGATATGGGAATGATGTAAAACTGTATCTTCACTCTGCTACGAAGATTTATCTTGTTTAACAAATCTTTACCACATATACACAACATCCAAACGTTGTATCAGAAATGTGAACTGAAACTTTCTGCTATGTATTATTACTTCTACACAATAAAATATTAAAAAACAAACAAAAAAACAAAACAAACGAACAGGAAACAGCAATTGCATAAGCTAAAAAAGACACTAACGTGTTTCAACCTGGATCGGTCTTTTTCAAAGTCAATGCATGAGAATAATTAGGGACTTCAACCAGGAATTGACTTACTTAAGTGGGTTAACAAACTGTATTCAATAGGATATGTTCTATTTTTAAATAGATGCCATCACAGTTGTGACATGC